CGATAAGTCGAACCCAGAAGTTCGATTTCCAGCCGTCGAACTTGCCGGTAAGTGTAGCCAAGGCCTTAGAAAACAGATGGACTTCCCCCATGCACTGAAGGTCAGCAACCTCAGTTTATGTTGGACTGATAATGACTGAATTCCTGAGTAGACCGTATAACTACATGCGTATAAATTACATCCAGACATGAGTAGGAAGCCAGCACATCGCTCGCCCGCGCCGCTTCTCGCCACCCCCATTGGCCCGGGATGGCAAACCGCGGCCAGTGGGGGCCGCGATTGGCCAAACCTGCCACGTCAGCAGGTAAATAAAACTGGCCCAGCCCGCCAGGGTGCTTACCCTGGCGAGCTGCATGCCCAGTGTTGCCGACCCGTGATATAAGATATACCTATCTACATGCATTGAATCTGAAACCACGTAGGAGGCACAGAAGCGTTTAGTGTGTTTCTCAGTTCTCCCAAGAGTTTAGAGAATCTCCATATTATTTCAACTTGGATTCCTCTATATGCTAAATCGTTTTAGGGATTTTGAGAGGAAATCTGATGTATGGTGAAGATCTTTGAAACTTGGATAAGGAAATGTAAATCATTTCAGTATTTCTCCCAAATTATCAAAAGTGTTTGACCTTCTGATTCCAAATTAAAGTGGCTGTTGAAAAGATTGGATGGCATTCTGAAATGTCCTTAGTAAAATCAGAAGGCTATGGGGAAGCTCAAATTAAAAAATAATTTTCCTACCAAAGCTGCCTAATTTTTTGATACAGTACTTATGTTTCCCTATTATATGCTTTATGGCAGGAAGGGAACTGAGAAATTTTCCAAACTCTCTAGATCTCTCCACAGTTTAAGGATATGTGACTCAATTCATCATTTCGCTGTGGCCCCTTTCTGCAGCTCTGTAGACGTATATGAGCATTAAAGTTAGCAGGTGCTGCTTCCAGGGAATTCCCTTGGCAATAAGGAAAGTCTCCACAAGGTGATTCTGTGCATCCCCAGGCATTTGAGGCCATGAGTGTAGCACAGCTGTACTCTGGCAATTCCCGACTGCTACAACAACCTCTTGGGGTCATAGGAAGCCAGGTCCAACTTACAGCAGCCCTGAGCTTTTACTAGTTTGCTAGCCCTCAACTGGCTCCAGAATATTTCTTTATCCCTATCCATCAGTCCTGTGCTGAGTGGAACTTGGATTCACTGAGAATCAGGTCCATGTGACTCCAAAGTAGGAACTGTACCCAGAGAACTTTAGTTAACAAATATTAGCTTTCAGGTGTTTTTAAAAGGTTTAATCAGTGATTCAGAAATTACTTGAAATGAAAGATGGAAGCGTAACTGTATTCACAGGTAGAAAGGCCCTGCAAGATCAGACAAATACCAGTTTATACTCCGACACTTCCTTGCCTAAACTCCAGAACATTTTAGAAAAAAACTCAATACCAGCTAGACGGAGACGAACCTCGGTTTGCTACAAAGAACCCAAAATAAGCAGGTCAGTATAAGTAAGGTATTTGTTTTTCTTTCAGCAAATTGTTATTGCATCAGTGTTACTGAAATATCCCTATCAGATATCTCTCTGGTTTATTTCTTGACATGCATGTCATATATAAAATTATCTGGGACGCTATACTGAATAGCTAGATTGGTTATGTTTATACTCCCAAGTTAGTATTTTAATTGAAGAGTTAAATGACCCTGATTCATTCCTGTGTTACTTCACTTTTATGCTGGTATAACTCACTGAAGTCAGTGTAGTTTTGCCAACATAAAACTGGAGTAATGCAGTGGAGAATCAGGCCCTATGTTTCCAACAGTTAGTAATGGGGTGTGTACACACATAGTTGTAGATACCTAACATTTGGACTTTCAGTATTCATTAAGAAAGCTAGCATTTTAAATTATATCAAGAGTAGATTTTTTTATTCCTATTGAACTTAGATTTTTTTCAAGAGTATATAGTAGTGTCTTGAGTTTAGTTTGACCCTTTAACCATCTCCAGTGGTCTTTCTGTGTCCAATTTCTATGTCCAATTTGCTGCTTTTGGAAATCTGATCTCTCAGCTAGTTCACGTTTAATTAGCTAATTTTTTCTATTGTACTATCCAAGATCATTTTGAAAGAATATCCATCTTTTATGTAAAGATTAAGGCTGCCTAAGAGCAGGTCACTTTGGGTTGATTGTAACATGACTTAGATGATGATACTAAGGCTGAAGTCCCAGTGGTTTTAACTATAGTGCATTGAGTCTTGCGGCATTGATAGCCAAAACATCACTGCTATTTTGAAATGTAATTTATATATAAAAACAATGAAAATGTGTCTGTGTATTTACTAAATAGGATAGATGGGCACTAAATGGGCACTCTCTCTCTGATACCCATTCAAAGGACTCCATGGGCTGGTATACACTACACAGTTAGGTCGATATAAGGCAGCCTATGTCGACCTAATTATGCCATTGTCTACACTACAGCCTTCTCCCACCAATGTAAGTGCCCTACTACACCAACGTAATAACTCCACCTCCATGAGAGGCGTAAGACTTATGTCAGTGTAGTTAGGATGATGCAGTGTCCCTGTAGACACTGTATTCCTTACATCTGCTGTCTTGTCGATTTCACAGCAGGAGCCTTGAAATAGACAAGAAAGCCCCCACTACCCTGGAGAGCTAGGCAGCTTCAAACCTGGCTCTGGGCTGGGACCTGGGGCGAGAAGCTGGGACGTCTTTGGACCCAGCTCCCGGCTGGGAGCCCGGACAAGAAGTCTGAGGGGCTCCCACCTGCTCCCTGCCAGGAGCCGGGCAGCCTTGTCAATTTTATGCCTGGGTGAGCCATGAAATTGACAAGGCTTCCCGACTTCTGGAGAACGGGGAAGAGAAGCCCTGGGCGGCTTCCTCTCACTCCTGGTAGGGAACGGGGAAGAGAAACTCCGGGTAGCTTCCCCTGCTCCCAGTGGAGACCATGGAGCGGTGGGGAGGGGGGACAGCTCACCAGAGCCTGTGGGGCAGCCAGGCTCCTGGCAGGGAGCTGCCTACAGAGCTCAGGGCCAGGCTCTCAGCTCCCCCCCACCACCACACCACCCTCTTAGGTCGGTGGAAGTGCTCCTGGTGAGGACATGCACCACAGACCTAAGGAGGGTAGTATGGATATGCACCACTGCAGTAATTACTGTAAGATGACCGAATATAGGTCGACTTACCTTTCTACTGTAGACATACTGTGTGTCAATCATTCTGTTGCAGCAGAAGAGCCCTCACAGTGGCAATACAGCCTTGTTCCAGTTTTTCTAAAAAAGAAAGTGACGTCCAATTAAACAATGGAATAGAAGGGCTACAGATAAACCAGTCCAAAGAAAAACCAGACATCTCACCCTTTTGCAAATGCAATGCAAAACACTTTTTAAAACTTAGCCTTCTCCCAGTAAGTTGTTCACACACTCCCTTATACATGAACATAATTAAATAAAAAGAACCTCCTAAATTAATCAAGCTATTTCTTCTACAATCTGGGAAGCAAAAAAGAAAAATATTATTTCTACATTTAAATACTTGGAAATTGGTCAGATGCGAAGGTGATGTGTGCCATATAGATACACATGTAGTAAAGTTTTGAGGGTTATCAACTTCTAAAGTAATTTCTAAATATACTGGAATTTCAGAAATGTGTGCTTTCCATAAAACCTCTGGGCAACTTCAGTACACCAAGCCCTAACTATTGTTTACCATTTTAAGAGTTGTGATATAACCTCTCATTATTTAAATGGCATTAATATTTTAATTCTTTCTTTTCTGCAGTAAATTGAGGCGTGGGGATCAGTTTACAGATTTGGAATTTCTGAATTCCCCAGTCTTCAAAGTTAAAAATAAAAGAAGTTTCAAAAGTAAACCAAGACTAATCTGAGGAAGACAAGCAAGAAGAGAACTGCCTTTAAGAATAATACAAATTTTAAAATATATAATATCATATTTTTCAAAATTGGGTAAATCTTCCTTACTGTTCTTTTGTTTAACTAAGCTTGTTCAGGTTAACTAAACTTGTTCTGCTTACCTTCCAAAGTGGAGTTTTTTGTGACTGAGGTCCTGGTCTTACACTTCTTAGGCAGAATACCTCCCTGAGTAAGGCAAGTAGGATTAGAGACCCTACATTTGTGTTATGAACTTTTTCTCAATAACTTTAATCTGTTTCAAGACTGCTTACCATCTTTAAATTTAAAAAAAAGTTGGAAATTTTACTAAGAATAAAAACAAATCACTAGATTTTGGGGGGAAATCCATTGTGGTGTTTTCACAATACTAAGCAGATTTTTTTCTCATTCTGAAACAGACTCACAGACTAAATCTGGTGGCAACAGTCCCATGCATTCTTTTTTTTAATTACAAAATTATAATCCTATCATAAAACATAGAGCAAAACAAAATGTGATGGAATTCCCTGACTTTTATGGATTTGTTGGAATGTTGATGAAATTTTAATGAATTGTGTTGTATTGTTTTAGATTGAATTTCCCTTTTTCTGTGACGGAAAGAGTTGTGAAAAGCATATTAAAAAAATATATTCTTTCACTTGAAGATTTTCCACTTGGTTTCCTCTCTCAGTTCAGAATTGCAAAAGTCCTTGGTCCTCCAATTTTTTGATTTATTCATTATTATTTTTTTAAAATGTGTGAACAGATGAGTGGGGTACAAAGCTTGGGAAAGTTGCTAGACAAGGCTGGAAGACTTTGTAAGAAGCTCTATGTATCATACTGTTATTCAGCACTTACAGTGTTCTTGGGGCTTTACAATACACAAGGCTAAAAACACCATTCTCTTCCCCTGTAATCAGATCCATGCATGTGTACCCTCATTGACTTCAATGGGGCGCTGCAGCAGCGCAGGAGACTGCACACACAAATTTGATTGCAGAATCTAGGGCCTTACAGGGATTTTTCCCCCTCATAATTATTGTAAACTTACTTCTTGTGATCCTTGAGAAAAGAAGGTTTAATACTTGGAACTCTGTGTGACGGGTTTGATCACAGAGACCCCGTTGGGACTGTCACCTGGTGTGCTGAGACTACCTCTGAGCCGGTTTTCCCTGCCACTTTGGGACTCCAGAACCTTGTTGAGCCAGACACGCTAATCTGCTACAACACAGACCCAGGGTCCAACCCATGCCCCCAAAGCTGCAGACTTAACTGAAAACGGCTTAGCAAGTGCTCCTGTTTCTAGCACCCAGACACCCAGCTCCCAATGGGATCCAAACCCCAAATAAATCCATTTTAATCTGTATAAAGCTTATACAGGGTAAACTCATAAATTGTCTGCCCTCTATAACACTGATAGAGAGATATGCACAGATGTTTGATCCCATGCGTCTGACAAAGTGGGTATTCACCCATGAAAGCTTATGCTCCAATACATCTGTTAGTCTTAAAGGTGTCACAGGACTCTCTGTTGCTTTTTACAGGTATAAATTGCTAACTTTGGGTTAATTAATAAGCAAAAGTGATTTTATTAAGTATAAAAGGTAGGATTTAAATGGTTCCAAGTAATAACAGACAGAACAAAGTAAGTTACCAAGCAAAATAAAACAAAACATGGAACTCTAAGCCTAATACATTTAAGAAACTGAATACAGGTAAATTTCACCCTCAGAGATGTTCCAGTAAGCTTTTTTCACAGACTATACTCCTTTCTAGTCTGGGCCCAATCCTTTCCCCTGGTACCATCCTTGTTCCAGCTCAGGTGGTAGGTAGGGGATTTCTCATGACTGCAGCCTCCTTTGTTCTGTTCCATCCCCTTATATAGCTTTGGCAGAAGGTGGGAATCTTTTGTCTCCCTGGGTCCCCACCCCTCCTTCTAAATAAAAAAGCACCAGGTTTAAGATGGATTCTAATACCAGGTGACATGGTCACATGTCCTGTAAGACCCCAAGCCTTCATTTTTCCTGGCCTGACTCACAGGAAGGCTTGCAAGTAAACAAAGCCATTTACAACCAATTGTCCTAGTTGATGTAAGCCATCAAGATTCCAAACCACCACTAATGGTCCACACTTTGCATAATTACAATAGAACCTTAGAGTTATATTTCATATTTCTAGTTTCAGATACAAGAATGATACATTTATACAAATAGAATAGCCACACTCAGTACATTATAAGCTTTGTAATACTACCTTACAAGAGACCTTTTGCATGAAGCATATTCCAGTTACATTATATTCACACTTATTAGCATATTTTCATAAAATCATATGGAGTGCAATGTCACACTCTGCACCCAAAATAACTTTCCCCAATTCTCAGTTCTCTCCCTAACCATAACTACATTGTCATTACCATGTCACTACAGAAAGTTTCAGAGTAGCAGCCGTGTTAGTCTGTATCCGCAAAAAGAACAGGAGTACTTGTGGCACCTTAGAGACTAACAAATTTGTTAGAGCATAAGCTTTCGTGGACTACAGCCCATTTCTTCGGATGCATATAGAGTGGAATAAATATTGAGGAGATGTATATACACACATACAGAGAGCATGAACAGATGGGAGTTGTCTTACCAACTCTGAGAGGCCAATTAAGTAAGAGAAAAAAAACTTTTGAAGTGATAATCAAGATAGCCCAGTACAGACAGTTTGATAAGAAGTGTGAGAATACTTACAAGGGGAGATAGATTCAATGTTTGCAATGGCTCAGCCATTCCCAGTCCTTATTCAATCCTGAGTTGATTGTGTCTAGTTTGCATATCATTTCCAGCTCAGCAGTCTCTCGCTGGAGTCTGTTTTTGAAGTTTTTCTGTTGTAATATAGTCACCCGCAGGTCTGTCATTG